GCACTGGGACTCACATCCAACCTAAGTGGTGACGAGAAGAAAATATCTGCTACATTGAGGAGGAAAGCTCTGGGACTCACATCCAACCCAAGTGACAGCGGGAAAATATTTTTGACACTTTGGGAAGGAAAGCACTGGGACTCACATCCAACCTAAGTGGTGACAGAAAAAAAATCTGCTACATTGAGGAAAGCTCTGAGACTCACATCCAACCCAAGTGGTAGCGGGAAAATATCTTTGTCACGTTAGGAAGTGGTGACGGAAAAAATGTCTGCTACATTGAGGAGAAAAGCTCTGGGACTCACATCCAACCCGAGTGGTAGCGGGAAAATATTTTGCTCTATGCAAGAAATACGCAGATTCACATATGTAAATTTGTGGGGAATATGTGAATAGAATATGTGAAGAAATCGGAAGCTTTAACATCCATTGAAGGGGGCCTCACACCGATCCTCGGAGAATTTAAAATTTGAAGGAATCGGAAACCTTAACATCCATGAAAGAGGGACACACCGATCTTAGGAGAATTTGAAATTTGAAGGAATTGGAAGCCTTAGCATCCATTGAAGGGGGACTCACATCGATCCTCAAAGAATTTGAAATTTGAAGGCCACATTAGGAAGGAAAACCTTAACATCCATTTAAGGGGGATTTACATCCAACCAAAGAGGCAAGGAGAGGTAGGAAACCTTAACATCCATTGACTCCGCTCCGCAAATATTTCAATTTGGAGGTAATATTAGGAAGGAAAATCTTAACATCCATTTAAGGGGGTTTTACATCCAACCAAAGAGGCAAAGAGGAGTAGGAAGTCTTAACATCCATTAAAGGAGGTCTTATTCCACTCCGCAAAAATTTGAATTTGGAGACAACATTAGGAAGGAAAACCTTAACATCCATTTAAGGGGGCATTACATCCAACCTAAGAGACAAAGAGGAGTAGGAAGCCTTAACATCCATTGAAGGGGGTCTTATTCCACTCCGCAATAATTTGAATTTGGAGACAACATTAGGAAGAAAAACCTTAACATCCATTAAAGGGGGCTTTACATTCAACCTAAGAGGCAAAGAGGAGTAGGAAACCTTAACATCCATTAAAGGGGGTCTTATTCCACTCCGCAAAAATTTGAATTTGGAGACAACATTAGGAAGGAAAACTTAAAACCCCCTACCTAAGAGGCAAAGAGGAGTAGGAAGCCTTAACATCCATTAAAGGGGTCTTATTCCACTCCGCAAAAATTTGAATTTGGAGACAACATTAGGAAGGAAAACTAAGAGACAAGGAGGAGTAGGAAGCCTTAACATCCATTGAAGAGGGTCTTATTCCACTCCGCAAAAATTTGAATTTGGAGGCAACATTAGGAAGGAAAATCTTAACATCCATTTAAGGGGGCTGTACATCCAACCTAAGAGACAAAGAGGAGTAGGAAGCCTTAACGTCCATTGAAGGGGGTCTTATTTCGATCCTCAGAGAATTTGAAATTTGAAATTTGTGAAAAATTTATGGGAAGTTTGTGGAATTCTTATGGAACTTGTGGAATTTAGGAGTCGTGAAAAATTTATGTGGGAAATTATGCAGTGCAGAATTTTGTTGAGATGTTTGTACAGAGATTTGCAATGTTGACATTGAACTTTGTGAAATTTTATGTGAGATTTGTGAAAATTTATGCAGTGTGGAGAATGTCAGAAGAAGTTTGTGAAGTGCGGAGAAACTATACCAGCTCGGACAACCGCCGGGGACATTACATCCGAACTAGATCTAGTTGAGAAATGACAACCATCAAGGAAATTACGCCAAATCCCAAGAAAAATGTCGGTCACATTGGGAAAGAATTTCAGAGACTTAAATCAATCCCAAGAGACAATCAAAGAAAATGTCCATGCGATAAGAGATGGATTCACACGAGCAATAGGACCCAGAGTTCCTGTGGTAGGAAACTTCGGGCCAAGAGAAATGACGTTGATGATAGGTCGAGAAGGCTCAAGCTGACCAGGTTGAAATTTGAAGTGATGCTCAAAATTTTGATTTTTATCGTTTTGCTTATTTGATTCGGTGTTGTGTCATTTCATTTTGATGTTGAGATTTATTTGACCTTGAATTTTATTTTGTTGCATTTGTTTTAAGATTTGGACCCAGTTTTAGACAGGTACAGCATCCGTGTTTCTAATGACAAAGTTTTGTCTTTAAAACATCAGAATGCATAGTACTTCTCGAGGTACTATTCATTGATTGGTTATCCATTGACTGGAGACATGTGTAAAAATAACAAATTCTTTAAGGTACCATTAGAATTATATTCTTTCAAGTACACATAAAGATGTGCTACTTTTAAGGACGTCACAGCTCGAGAGACTACAATCTTGTACCATCATTGTAGTGGATTTGTCTTTTGCTTTGACATTGATTCTGTAAAAGTTGTTCTTGTCGTCTTTGAGGGATAACTCTGACGTTTTTTGAATTGTTGTTGAAGTTGTATTTGTTGGGCGCTGAAGGATTTGACTTCAGGATTGAATTTTCATGAACTGCTAATATCATCGTCATCTCTTTAATTCTTTCTTTCTGAGCCTAAGCAGAATTCAGAATTTTGATCATGTGATCAAAATATTTTTCACTTACCAAAGATATTTCTCAGTCAATTAATAACCAGCCAAAAGATTTGAGATCAGTGAATTTTTTCTTGAGTATAATATCAGAAGAATTTCCTTAAGAGAGCATTCTAAGTCTCATTAATTAGGGAAAACTTGGACACCAATTTTTGATTGTACATCCACCTCAAGCTTCTTCTCAGGGAGACTTTTCTTTTTCTTTGATTTTTTTTCCATTTTCTTTTTTATTGAGAATTACTATATCTAGTAGAGCAAGATTTAAAGATTTTGAATTTCTGAATTGAGACACCAATTTTTGAATTTATGCTCACCTCAAGCTTCTTCTCAGGGGACTTTCACATTTTTTTTTGCTCCGTTTGTTTTCTGAGAATTACTATATCTGGTGAAACGTATGTTAAAGATTTTGAATGACTAATAATCCTCAAATATTTCTTAAGACAAATTCTGGGATATTATAGCTCGTTCGAAAGTCAGGACCCAGTCACTTGGCAGAAAATCAAAAGACTTGTGATATCCTGAGTCAATTACTCGTATTTCAACCACACTATCTTATTTTGAAATCAACTTAGGACCCAGTCTGAATTCTTTAAAGTAGATGACTCAGTTATTATGACATTAATTTCATTCTCCCTTAAAGTCATAGTTTCTATCACAATGCTGGAATTTTTTTATCTTGGATTATTCCTTTCTCGATTGTCCTCTTAATGAACTTTGAATATTTTGTTAACTGTGCTTTCCACACATTGAACAGTTCTGAAAAACAAGTTCTTTCTTTCTTTTATTGCGGTGGGAGGGAAGGGATATACAAACATTGATACATTAATATCCTTTTTGATAATAAAAGTAGTACAATAATGATCAAGGTACAATATATCATTTGTCAGCTGCATCGGAGTCAAATGGAACACTAGGCTCAACTGAAATCATATTGATAGAATCTTTTTCAAGTTCTTTTCAAAAGTTCTTCTGAGATCACTATGCTCCCATTATTGAAGTTCTCCTCAAGCTAATCTTTAAAAGTGAAACAATCTTTTATGGTGTGTCCAATCAGCCTATGATATGGGCAGTACATCGGATGATATTTTTCATCAACTTCGTCTGGTTTCTTTGGTTCAGGGAGCTTGAACTCGTGTTTCTTTATCAAATTCTGAAATATTTGTTTGACTGCCTCATTCTTGAAAGGATACATTTTGTTCAAACGATTCTTTATGTTCGGGGGTTTCCCTCCATCTGTTTGATAGGACCTCTGCTGAAAGGACTGTTGACCATTTTGTCGAGGACGTTGGTAGATCTGTCGAGACTGTTCAACTTGTATTTGCAACGGTCGCTTGCCCCTGTCAACCACTGCTATTATCCCAGATTTCTTCTCAGATGTCTTCAATGGCTTTAGCTTCCCAGCTTTCTCGAAAAACTCAAGTTGCTTAGATTCTTCTTGAAGATTCCCAACTTTGCTAAGCAGCTTTTCGAATGTCTTGATGGTGAATCCCTCGAGTAAGAAACCCACCGGACCATGGATGCTCTTTAGAAGGATTTTGATTGTGTGCTGCTCTTGGAGTTGTGGCTCACACTTCATGCTCAAATTTCTCCATCGCAGAATGTAGTCCATCAATGTTTCGGCTGGCTTCTGTCGCTCGTGATCACCGATAGTGATATGGTGTTTAACGCCAGTGAACCACTTAACAAAGAGGTCTTCCAATTCTGCAAATATTTTGACTGAGTCATTTGGTAGTTCGGCATACCAGTCAAAAGCGATTCCTGAAAAACTGCTTACAAATTGACGACACAACAAAGTATCACTACCCCCGCATTGCAACATTTTGCTCGGAAGTGTGCAACATGCTGTCGGGGGTTTCCCGTTCCATCAAATGTCTTGAACGACGGTGGTACGAAACCCTTGGGGGATTGGACATCATCAAATTCTTCAGGATAGGGTCTACCCTTTAGAATCAATGTCCCCCCTTTTGATCTTCTCTTACCTGTTGTTCCACCATTTGTTTAATGTCTTTTTCCTGTATCATGCTCTGGAGTCTTTCGTCTGTAATATGAACAATTTCTGGTTGACTTGCTTCTGGAGCTGTCATTTGTGGTGGTTGTGACTGTCCTTGAATTGGGGTCTTCGCGGTCATCATTCCTTCTAGTTGTTTCTTCATCTGGTTGATCTGTTTATCATGTTATTGAATGACTCTTCGCAACTCATCCGCGGCTTTCTCCTCAGTGCGTAAAAGAGCATCGCGCGAGAATAAGGTGGCTCTGGCCCAATAACGTTGATTTCTGCGAATTCCTCTTTCACATAATCTGACGGCTCGTAGGGTTCATCACTCGTATCTTTTCTTTGTTCTTCAGACAACCGTGCAATGTCTGCTCGAAGTCTTTCCAACTTAGCCTCGATCGACCTTCCTTTGATAACTTTAAGGTCAGTTGGAGATTTTTTATGAGCCTCACCTCTTTTGTTGAGCACTGGTGTAGTCATGTAGGAGTCAATTGGAACAACTGTATCAACCGATATCATATTGATGGAACATCTTTTAGGTTTTGTTAAATACTCTTTCAGAATCGTTATCTTCCCGTTTTTGAAATTCTTCTCGAGCCATTCTTTGAAACTGATACAGTTTTCTATAGTATGACCGAGCAGTCTGGGGGAGGACAGTAGTTGGGATGGTCTTTCTTGTGGACTTGCTCCGGCCTCTTTGACTCTTGTAATCTGAATTTGGGATTTTTAATTAAATCCTGGAACATCTTTGCAACAACTTTTCTGAAAGAATATACTTTGTTCAATTGCTTAGCCACAAATGGACCCTGTATTTCATCCATCTGGCATGGGCTATGCTGGAATGACTGTTGACCGTGTTGTTGGTTGTATTGTTAGCTATGTTGTAGATCGTACTGTTGCAGATATTGCTGGTTGACTGGAATCTGTACTGACTGCTTGTCTTTATCCACTACTGTTACTCTCTCAGATTTCTCTTTGAATGTCATCGCAGGCTTTGGACTATTATGGAGAGATGACGACGGTACTGTGGTAGCAAACCCATAAACTCCATCCTCTCCGTAGTTAGCAGGCAACTGGTGAAACTTACTCCCCATGAGTAGAGGTAAAGTCTCACGTAATCATGTCTCATCCAGTCGGAGGTTGGTGTCAATAGTAGCCAACTCTGTGGCTTTTGCCTTCCCTGGCCTTAGAATTTTCTGGTTGTCCTTAATTTCTTGTGTCTCGGTCAG